AAAAAAAAAAAAAAAAAAAAAAAAAAAAAAGTAAAATGAAAAAAAAAGAAAGTTATAATCAAAAAGAAAAAATAAAAAATATAGAAGGAAAAAAAAACGAAGAGGAAGAAATACAAAGAATAAACCAAAAATTAAGAAAGCAGCAAAATAAACTGCTGCTTGAAGATATCAAACTGAGTTAAGAACAATGATGAACACCCACTTCAAAACTGATGTCTTTTTACCGAATATTTTCCCGTCATCTTCTTCTTCTTTTTTTCTTCTTCTTCTTCAGAGTCGTCTTCATCGGCATCGTCATCATCATAGTCACCTTTTTGCTTCATTACCCGACACACAGATCTGCATCACTATTACGTTTCAAGTTCCCTTTTGAACTATATTAGTCACCATAAAATTAACGATGCAACAAAAATCCAGGATCAGATGGAAGATGAAAACGTCAATCATTTGTATCGTCTATGTATCATTAAAAAAAAGAGAAGGAAAGAGAAGAAGGATTAAATCTTAATTGAATAAATGAATAGATAAATGAAAGAAATTTGATGATCATTACTGTTTGTTGCCGGTTTGCTACAATATAGAACTGATATATCGGTATTTACATAAGCCTACAAACGGAGACAACTTGTCTTTGTAACGGGTGGAAAAAATGAAGAAGACAAGAGAAATAAAAAAAAAAAAAAGAAAAAACGGTTTTCCGTTACCATTGACGATTGTAACGACAAGTGGCAACATAGGGTAAAAGAAGAAACGATAAACGGTTAGCGTAGTGTACGGTAAAACAGTTGTTTCATCCTAAATCCATTTGGTTTCATCAGTTTGATCATCGATGAACAATAAACAAACTTTGAACTATGAAAAAAATTGAACACTAAACAAAATAGATGATTACTGTGAAAAAAATTTTGAGAGAAAATAAAAAAGTTTACTGTAATAAAATATTTTTGTAAATTCGTATTAGTTTTTTCTTGTTTTGCTTCCAAAATTATGAATCAAACATTAACACATCCAGCAATCTAAATCTTATTTGTTTTTGTCTTATTCGTTGCTTCTGTTACTGCTATTTCTGTTTTGTCTTGGTTAGCTTTCAAATACAACTAAAATAATAGCATTGTAAAAAAAAAAAGGAAGAAGAAAAACAAATAAATAAATACAATAAAAGTGAAAAAAAAAAAAACAAAACATTTTTTGATTTATGGCACAAAGAGCAACAGACGAGAAGGTGGAAAAAAAAAAGGCACTAATGATAGTCAAACATGGACAACTATCACCTAACGCCTTTCCAAAATTGAAAGGAGAGCAAAAACTGACATAACAACGGTTTCAGGTATTTGATTGTATTATATATCAACGTAATTCTTCTACCATTCCCTTTTCTCCTGCCCTTTCCCCATGTTTCCATCTTCTTTAGTCTAATGGATCAATGCTCGGAGGCGATGAGCAGAACACAACCGCATAAGCAACCAACAAAACAATTCCTCCATTAATAACCGTTAACACCAAAGAGCATACCATTCGTTTTATTTTTTGTTTCAATTTTTTTTTTTTTTGGAGACGAAGGCGAAGACAGATCCATCAACGTAAAAATATTCTGTAATTTAGTACACTTATCAGATCAATTATAAACCACAAATAATTTTTTTTAAATTACAATCATAAGTGCCTCTTCTCCTTCATCATTATCTACATTGCCATCGTCTTTCTTTTTTGTTTCAATTATTAGATGGAATTAGCCTCTAAATATAATAGATAGCCTATATTCATTGTCTACAATAAAGGAAAAAAAACATTCAAACTGTAGCCATTAAAGCTGAAAATATCATTGATTCTCAA